ACCTGTCTTGGCATTCGTGGCGTGTTGAAAGCGACAGGCAGCTGGATTTGCATGACGTGAGCCACAGCATGTAGCATGTAGCCGTAGCCTGTAGCATGGTGAGCCGCAGCCTGTAGCATGTAGCCGTAGCATGTAGCATGGTGAGCCGCAGCCTGTAGCATGTAGCCGTAGCCTGTAGCATGGTGAGCCGCAGCCTGTAGCATGTAGCCGTAGCCTGTAGCATGGTGAGCCACAGCGTGTAACATGTAGCCGTAGCCTGTAGCATGGTGAGCCACAGCATGTAGCATGTAGCCGTAGCATGGTGCAGCACGGACGTGAGCCACAGCGTGTAACATGTAGCCGTAGCATGTAGCATGGTGCAGCTCTGACATGAGCCTGCAGTCCCTGCAGCAGCAAGCTGCATGCATTCATCATGTGACCCAGAATGTTGGAACTCTTGGCCAACATTACCTAGTTACTCTGGGGGCGGGGCTTGTTACTCAGGTGTTGATCGTGTGACCGTCTGCGCCCTCAGGAGCACGTTCTGATCGAGGCGTATAAGAAGTGTCTGAGTGCGCTCAGTCAGTGCCAGGGTGGCCTGCCGGACGGTGAGCAGCCAATCAGCTTGAGCCTGGCAGGTCACACTGTGGACACCTTCAGGTACCAGGTGTCCCAGGAGAAGGTGTCCATCCACCTGCCCATGTGCAGGCTGCTAGCAGGTGAGTGGGCGGGACCAGAGGAGCATCATGGTGTCTGCAGTGTCGATCCTCACCTGATCCTTACCTGGCTGTTTCTCCTGTCAGGACTCCATGTTCTCCTCAGCAGGACCGAGGTGGCGTCACGACTCCCCGAGCAGCTGCCCCTGGTCAGTCTAAAGGTGACCTCCGGTCGGCGCGGCGGCCGGTCGGCTTCCGGTCGGCGCGGCGGCCGGTCGGCCTCCGGTCGGCGCGGCGGCCGGTCGGCCTCCGGTCGGCGCGGCGGCCGGGTGACCAATCACTGCCTCTGTCCTCCAGGGGGAGCTCAGCCCTCACCTGCTGATAGAGCTGCCATTGCGCTGCCTGGTCCTCTGTGCACAGGTGCATGCTGGGATGTGGAGGAGGAACGGCTTCTCTCTGATCAACCAGGTGAGTCTCTGTGATTAGCTGACAGGCCCAGGTGTGCAGGAACAGCTGGTGATGCGTCCTGTGTTCCAGATCTACTACTACCACAACGTCAAGTGCAGAGTGGAGATGTTCGACAAGGACCTGGCCATGCTGCAGGTATGCTGGTTCTGGTTGGTCCTGCTTCGGTCAGCTCTGGTTCTGTTCTGGTTCTGGTTGGGTCCGCTAACAGCTGCTGTTTCTCCAGGTTGGCGCCTCCATGATGGATCCGAACCACTTCCTGATGATCGTTCTGAGCCGCTTTGAACTCTTCCACACCTTCAGCGCCGCCGACCTACGGAGAAGATACAGGGAGGCCAACAAGGTCAGAACCGGGTCAGAACACAGAACTGGGTCAGGTTGGGGTTGGGCAATATGGAGATATAATTCTCTGATGTGTCGATCCCTGGTTTTGACCTGGTTCTGTGCGCTTTGTGTGCAGGACCTGGCCCAACAGAACACGCTGATAGAGGAGATGCTACACCTCATCATCATGGTGGTAGGTGAGTCTGGCAGGTGAGCCAACCTGCGGCAGGTGAGCCGACCTGCGGCAGGTGAGCTGACCTCCGGCGTGTCCCGGTCCTCCAGGTGAGCGTTATGTTCCGGGCGTCGGCCAGGTGGAGCCGCTGGATGAGGTCAGGAGGGAGATCCTCCACCAGCTGTGCATCAGACCCATGGCTCACAGCGAGCTGGTCAAGGCTCTGCCTGAGAACGTAAGACACAGCCGTTACCATGGTTACCTGGCTGCTCACCTGGCTGCTCACCTGTTGGATGGTGTTTTTCAGGGCAACAAGGAGACGGGTCTGGAGAGAGTCATTGACAGCGTTGCGTCATTCAGGTCAGTCTGTTAGTTGGCCTTCCGCCTTAAACATGTCCACCTTAACGGCGGTCAGCATCAGGTGTGCTGTGTTGACAGGAAGCCAGGTGTGACGGGGCGGGGCCTGTATGAGCTGCGTCCTGAGTGGTCCAAACGCTTCGACCTCTACTTCCATCACTACAGCCGGGCGGATCAGTCCAAGGTAACCGGGTCGGAACTGATCCGGCTCCGGCGGTTGCTCTGGTGGTTACGGGTTGTCATGGTTACGGGATGTGTTTCAGGCCGAGGAGGCTCAGAGGAAGCTGAGGAGACAGAACGGCGAGGACACAGGTGAGCACCGCCTTCGGTCACAGAGCAGGGGTCACCGACCTGAGGCCCTGGTTCTGGTTCTGGGAGCTGCTCCACGGTGCAGAGCAACACGGGGGGCCGTGTAGCAGCACCTGGTGCTGCTTGATGCCCACATGATGCTGCCTGGTCACCAGCCGTTAGTCAGGATCCAACATGGCAGCTTGGGAATCAGAAGGTCTCTGACTCCCTGTTGGAGTTTTTCTGTGATCCTAAATTACCCACAATGACTAACGGTCATTGTGCTGCAGCGCCTCCTGCTGTGCGCTGTGAGTACCATGACATTTTACTTTAAATGAAAAAAGGAAAGAATAGTTATTGTATGTTTTATTATCCAACCCTCTTTACTATTAACAAAACTGTGTGGGAAAAAGATCTTTTGTACCAGAACATCAGTCTGTGGGGGTCAAAGGGCACGCCGAAGCCCTAGTCTGATTGGTCAGTTTGCTTTTGTTAATTTGGCAGCTTGGTGTTTTTCTGTAGCTAATAGTGAACGAGCAGTTTGAACCTCCGTGTGGATCCTGTGCGGTTCTGACGGGTCGCCGTCGGCCGACATCCGAGTTGAACGACGTAATCCAGTCCAGACGTTCATTGTTGCTTCTCCTTCTGTCCTCTGGACGTCTGGGATCCCGACTCGGCTTCGTAAAAAAATAAAAATAAATAAATGTCTGCTGGTTTCGGTGCTGGCGACCCGTCAGAACCGCACAGGATCCACACGGAGGTTCAAACTGCTCGTCCATTATTAGCTACAGAAAAACAAATTAACAAAAGCAAAACTGACCAATCAGACTCGGGCTTCGGCGTGCCCTTTGACCCCCACAGACTCGCTGTGAACAAGATGTTTTGGCACAAAGGGTCTGATTTTCTCCACCGTGTTAATAGTGCAGAGGAGCAGAGCGGCTCCAGCTGCAGGCGCTGCGGGTAACTTTGACCTTTAACCCGAGAAAACGGTTTTATCCATAAAGCAACTTATTTTAAACATTTTTATAATTTACTTTTTAAAGAAAATAAATCTTCTAACTTCAGTGTAAAGACATAAATTTGTTGGCAGCTCCCTACTGACGATGCTGGCCTGTCAGACTCACCTGGTCACCATGGTAACCTGTGTGTGCCTTGCAGCCCTGCCCCCGCCCCGGCCGCCCCCCCTCTGCCCGCTGTTCGGCAGCCTGGTCAACCTGCTGCAGTGCGACACGCTGCTGGCACTAGAGGGCGCCGTGCTGCAGTGGGCCGTGGAGCCCAGCGGAGGAGGCTGGACCGAGTCCATGCTGCAGAGGGTGAGTTCTGGACCTGGTTCTGGTTCTGGATCTGGGCCTGGTTCCGGTTCTAATGCTGCCTCCCCCTTTCAGGTGCTGCACCTGGTTGCCATGGCGCTCCTGGAGGAGCAGCAGCAGCTGGAGAGCAGCGGCGCAGACGAAGACGTCTCCTTCACCTTCAGCACCAGGATCACACGTCAGTACCTGAGCTCGGCTCACCTGGCGTCCAGGTGAGGAGGAGCCGGACTGACCGTGATTCACCTGTGTGTTCAGGTCCAGGTGAGGCTCCCAGCACGTCCGGAAGCGTCCTGGCTCTGCTGGAGAGCCTGCAGAACGCCCCTCACCTGGAGGTTCACAAGGACATGATCACCTGGATCCTCAAGGTAGTGGCAGCTGCAGGTGTAGCTGCTCCAGTGGTCTGACTGGTTCCCAGTGAGATAGTTGTGGTGTTGGTGTGCAGATGGTGGGAAACATCAAAACCACGAGGGAGCGAACGTCTGGCTCCAGCGTTAGCGTCAGCCATGGCCGCCGCCCAGAAGAGGTGAGTCCTTCACTTCCTGTCTGACTGACCCGCCCTCTGCTCTGATTGGACGGCTTCCTGTCTGACTGACTCGCCCTCTGCTCTGATTGGACGGCTTCCGGCAGTCGGTGAGGGACAAGGACAAGGCGGAGAGGAAAAGGAAGGCGGAGATGGCGCGGCTCCGCAGGGAGAAGGTCATGGCCCAGATGTCTGAGATGCAGAAACATTTCATCAACGAGAATAAGGAGCTGTTCCAGCAGAGCATGGAGGATCTGGAGGCGGCTGCCACCGCCACCGAGCACAGGTACACCTGGAGGCACACCTCTGCATACACCTGTCCAGTGGTTTTTGTCCATCTCCACTGTGTTCTCTTTCTCGCTCCCAGTCCTCCCAGTTTGGAGCCCACCTGTGTCGCTCATATCTGCGTGGGCCCCATGCGGGTGGGCGGGGCCGAGCGCCGCCAACTGGTCACCTGCATCCTGTGTCAGGAGGAGCAGGAGGTCAGAGGTCACGGGAGAGCCATGGTGCTGGCAGCCTTCATCCAGAGATCCACTGTTCTGTCCAAGAACCGCAGCCGCGGCATCCCCGACCCAGGTGGGCGGAGCTTAGCCACGGCGTCCGGCCGCCTGTTCCCCGATTGGTCGGTGCTGACGACTCGTCTCTCTGTTGCAGAACGCCTCGACCCGCTCTTCATGCACCCTGACCTCTCGGTGGGTGTCCACACCGCCAGCTGCGGACACATCATGCACGCCACCTGCTGGCAGAGGTGACCCCCTGCAGCCATGCCCGTCCCATCGGCAGCCAGCTGGCCTGGCCCCAGCTGATCCCACCTGTGTGTGCTCAGGTACTTTGAGGCGGTGCAGCAGAAGGAGCAGCGGCGGCAGCAGCGGCTCAGAGGTCACACCAGCTACGACGTGGAGAACGGGGAGTTCCTGTGTCCGCTGTGCGAGTGTCTGAGCAACACCGTCATCCCCCTGCTGCCTCACGCCTGCTCACCTGACCGCAGGTAGCGCCCACACTCAGGTACAGGTGTGACGTGCCGCGCTGCCGGAGCTTCCTGACGGCTGTTTGTCCTCAGTGTGGAGCATCCATGTCTGGAGACCTGGCTGAAGAGAACCAATCAGCAGGCAGCGGCTCTAGACTCCACCCACAGGAAGCAGTCACATGGTCAGTCACCTGCTGGGGGCGGGGCTATCAGCTGGTGTTCAGGTGTTCAGGTGGGTGTCTGTTGCAGGTGCGGCGCAGCAGGTGGAGCCAGCGGTACCTGACAGGTTCAGGGTCGGCTTTGATCTACAGTGAGTCCCAAGGCCTGGGGGGCGGGGCTAAACGTTTCTGCTGATGTCAGCTGCGATGTCACTTCCTCCCTCAGGAATTCATTCTCCAGCGGCGTTGGGGAGATGATCAACACCTTCAGCATGTCGGCCTATAAGGTCGGCCTCAAGGTCAACCCCAACGAGCAGGACCCCCGAGTCCCGGTGCTGAGCTGGTCCACCTGCGCCTACACCCTGCAGAGCACAGGTACGTCCTCACCTGGCAGGTTGGCCTACGGGTCATCTTCTGACTCACTACCTGGCAGGTAACCCTGGGTCAGGACTGATTTTGTTTCCTGTTTGTTTCGTTGCAGAGCGCCTCCTGATGGATGAGAAGAAGCCGTTGTTTGGAAGCTTACCTTGCCGACAGGTGAGAGCGCCTCCTGGTGAGCGCCCCTGGTATTACACCTTCAGCCTTAGGGTTACCTCTGCCTGACCTCTGACCTCTGACTGACCTGCTGTGTTTCAGGATGACTGTCTGAGTTCTCTGACCCGGTTCAGTTCAGCCTGCTGGACCGCCGCTCCGATCAGAACCGTTCAGAACCATTTCATCAGGCTGCTGTCAGGTACACACACACACATTACACACATTACACACACACACACATTACACACACACATTGCACACACACATTGCACACACACACACATTGCACACACACACACATTGCACACACACACACATTGCACACACACACACTACACACATTACACACACACACACATTACACACACTACACACACACACACATTACACACATTACACACACACACACATTACACACATTACACACACACACACACACAGTACACACACACACATTACACACACACACACATTACACACATTACACACACACATTACACACACACACACATTGCACACACACACTACACACACACATTACACACACACACACATTGCACACACACACACTACACACATTACACACACACACACATTGCACACACACACACACTAACTGGTTTCTGTCTGGTCCAGTTCTGGTTCCCATTCCGGACTCCCAGCTGGAGGACGCTCCCTGCATCCTGGATGTGGACATGTTCCACCTGCTGGTGAGTCCTGGTAGTGTCCAGGTGACCCCCCAGGTGACCCCCCAGGTGACCCCTGCCCTCCTGTCTGCAGGTGTACAGCGTCTTGTCCTACAGCTCCCTGCACAGTCTGGACCAATCAGGACGAAGGTCTGTGGATTCGGCTCACCTTCACCTGCTTCATCTGGTCACTGTGGCTCACCTGGTTCAGGTGCTGCTCACCTTCACCACCGGTAGGGAAGGACATTCAGACAGAGATTGCTCGTCCCTCACCTGTCTGTCCCTCACCTGTCTGTCCCTCACCTGTCTGTCCCTCACGTGTCCCTGTGGTGTCCAGGTGAGCTGAGTATGGATCAGGACGGTGAGGAGTCAGAGGAGGAGCAGCTCACCTGTCAGCTGTACGGCAGGCTGAGGGATCACCTGGGCAGGTGTGTGACGGTGGTTCCATCAGGCATGTGGGTGGAGAATGTGATTGGCTGACAAGACGTGTGTTGAGCAGGTGTTTACCTGACATCTCCTGTGGGTGGCGCCTGTGGAGGTGTGTGAGAGCCTCCGTCCTGCCCTTCCTCCGGACCGCCGCCCTCTTCTTCCACTACATGAACTCTGCATCGCCCCCTGCTGACCTGCTGGGTGAGAACACCTGCACACTGCACACCTTCACCTGTGGCAGCTTCACCTGAACCTGTCTGTTATTGGCTGCAGGTACAGGACCTGGCCAGTGGGAGGCGCTGTGTAGCTACCTCAGTCTGCCCTCCAACCTGCTGCTGCTGTACCAGAACCAGCGGACACTTCTGGAGCCGCTCATCCACAGGTAACCCACCTGACCACAGGTCCAGGTGAGCTGCCAGGTGTGTAACATCAGCCCTGGCGGGGCAGAGGAAGGGGGAGCAGTGAAGCTGTGCCATGTGTTAGTCATGAACTCTGACCCTGATCCTACCCTCTTCCCCCCAGCCAGAGTCCGCAATGGTGATGGAGCGTATGGGGAGCAGTCCGCTCCCAGTCCAATATTTATGTAAATTAAACAAAGTTCTGAGGAGGTTTCAGCCAGGTTAGGCCTTCACACCTGGTCTCTGGTTCCTGTTTCCATGGAAACACATGAAGACATTAGAGAAACAGAAACCAGAACATCCCAGTGGGGCAGCTGTCACTGGCAGTTGACCCAATCCAGCTGAGTGTGTTTGTGTATGTTGCTCTAGGTGGTGCTGTCATCCAGGTGTGGGCCAGGTGCTCCATGGGGGCGGAGTCTTGGTGCGGTTCCCCAGAGAGTCCAACAGGTTGATCGATCTGCCAGAGGACTACAGCATCCTGATCAACCAGGCCTCCAGCTTCACGTGAGCGCCCCCGACTGACAGGAGGAGAACTGCAGGCTGGCTGCATCCCTGATGCTAGCCCCTGGTGCCAGCCCCTGGTACTAGCCCATGGTGCTAGCGCCTGATGCTAGCCCCTGGTGCCAGCCCTTGGTACTAGCCCATGGTGCTAGCCATGGTGCTAGCGCCTGATGATAGCCCCTGGTGCTAGCCCCTGGTGCCAGCCCTTGGTACTAGCCCATGGTGCTAGCGCCTGATGCTAGCCCCTGGTGCTAGCCCCTGTGTGTCCCTGTGCAGGTGTCCGCGGTCCGGTGGGGATAAGTCTCGCGCCCCCACGCTGTGCCTGGTGTGCGGCTGCATGCTATGCTCTCAGAGCTACTGCTGCCAGACGGAGGTGGAGGGAGAGGATGTCGGAGCCTGCACCGCCCACACCTTCACCTGTGGAGCGGGCATCGGCCTCTTCCTCAGGTAACACAGATGCCTCTGCGTGGATCACATCTGTTGATGCAGTCTGCAGCAGTGTAACCTGTGTGTGTGTGTGTGTGTCTGTGTGTGTGTGCGCGCACAGGGTCAGGGAGAGCCAGGTGTTGTTCGTTGCAGGTAAAACTAAGGGCTGCTTCTATCCCCCGCCGTACCTGGACGACTATGGAGAAACCGACCCTGGCCTCAAGTACGTCCTTTTTTCTGCCGTTGCCATGGTGAATCGTGTTATCTGGGCTCCGTTGCTCAGGGCTTCTGTACTTGGAACTCGGGGTAACTTGACTCAGAGTAGAGTTGATTTCTCCTGTCTGGAGCTTCACAGAGCTGGGTAGGTTTACTCTGAGTTAGTTAACTCTGCTCTCTGGGGCCCAGTCGGGAGACCCATCCACCGCAGGACTGTTTCACAAGCCAGGGCAGCAGATGAACGCGGCCGGGCTGAGTTAACCCTTTTCTGATCGGTCAGCGCTCGCGCTGATCAGAGCCAATAAATTTTATTGCTGATTCTGTTTTCTTATTTCTCTGTTTGGTCTTTTTTTTATCACCCTGCATTAAAATATCACCAATTAATTTTGGTATCGATTCAAGTACTATCATTTTAAAACACCATTATTAATTTTAAAATGACCCATATGGACTGTTATATTCCATTGTGTTTCTGAAGGCCTTTAATAGACCAATGGGCTCTTTGCACCTAAGGCGTTGACGTCACATCTCCAGGAGCTAATTCGGCTCACT